TATGTATGTATGTATGTATGTATGTATGTATGTATGTATGTATGTATATATGTATGTATTTTAACCTGTCAATGAATTTTGTTATGAATATTGGTTTAAAATAAACCAGCTCTTCAACTATAGGTCAGCCTTCTCAACAGCTCACTTTTATTCTGTATTAGAGGTATGTGATTTAGGTCAATAGCATCCTGTTCTATGGTTATTAATCCTATTCCCATATAGTACCTAAACTGCAAATGCTTATAAAGCCTTGAAATTCTACAGCAAAATATCTCCTAGGAAACATATATAGATATCGGTACTGTTCCCAAAGTTTAAGAATGGGGCCTGACATTACTGTTCAGTGATAAATGTATGTTTTCTTTTTAAATAGAAAGCTTATTCTGGGAATTATTTCCAAAATAGAATAAAGTGTCATTTTCTAAATAATACATTGGAAAAGCTGAAAATCTTAAATTAAAATGCCTTGAATGTTATTCCTAATTTAAAAGTTTTTTCCTGTGAATAAGATCTCAGGAGCTGTTAAACTGAAAAGGATTTTACAGGCTGCTGTGAGCTATTCAGCATTTTCCCCACTCTTTGTCCACTTCTTCTTTTCCTGCTTCTGTGATGATTTATTTTCAGGTTTTTTTTTGAAGGGTCTTGCTGAGACACCCTTTGCTCAATCTTTTTTTCATGAAACTTGAATATTGATGATGATTAAGCCAACTTAGATTGGAAGGGATATTTTTCTAGAGGTCCCAAAAGAACAAAAGCATGACCAGAATTATTGGGGTGTAGAAGTTCACTGCATCTATTTGTTAATTTAGCCAAGTACTTGTGCGACTAACTCTCCAAAGCAATATCTCACATTCCCATTTCTTCCAAACATATCATTGTTTTGACTCAAGATCCTATAAAGACTCCAATGACTGCTTGTAATTTGTCTTCTCCATATTCCAGCTCTGCAAACTTTGGATGTATGTGGGAAGTCGTGAGCAACTGTTGAGGTTCGTCCTAAGACTGTTTTGACATCAGTCATATTTGTTAGATTGGGGTGTCAAACCCCGGATCGGGGGCCAGATCCGTTCCACAGAGTGCTTAGATCTGGCCCATGGGGCTGCCCTGGAAACAGCAATGGACCACCCTGTGGTGCCTCTGCCAGCAAAAACAGACCTTGCGAGGGCCGTAGGCAGCATTCCTTAGCTCCATTTTCACTGGCAGTGTGTTGCAGGAAGCTGTTGCAGTCAAAAATGGAACTCGGGAGCCCATTTTTGCTAGCAGAGTACTTGGGCCACCACAAGCGTCCCTGACATGAGTGATGTCGAGCTGGCCCTGCCCACCCTGGCCACACCCACCCCAGCCCCATGAGGTCAAACACAACCCTGATGCAGCCCTCAATGAAATCAAGTTTGATACCGCTGAGCAGGGGTGGGATTCAATTTTTTTAACAATCGGTTCTGTGGCCATGGCTTGGTTGGTGGCCATGGCTTGGTGGTCATGTGACTGGGTGGGTGTGGCTTGGTGGTCATGTGACTGGCTGAGTGTGGCCAACTCAACATCACTCACATCGAGGCATGCATCTCCTCATCTGGCCCCTTGTGACTGTGGGGATGCTGCAACAGTCGTAAGTGTGAAAAATGGCCATAAGTCTCTTTTTTCAGTGCCATTGTAACTTTGAATGGTCACTCCACACAAGCAAAGTACAAGCAAAGAAGGGGAAAAAAAACCTCTGGAGAAGTTCCAGAGACAGGAAGTCTAGTCCTGCCAAGAATGCAATAAGAGTTAATGGAGAGGCAGTTTCTGTAAGCAACACCAGAATGTTTCCTTCCTGCCTTCCTTACAGGATTAGGCCAGTAATTTCTTCTAACAACCAGTTCTCCGAACTACTTAGAATGTTAACAACCGGTTCTAGTGAATAGGTGCCAACTGGTAAAATCCCACCCCTGCCCGAGTTAGATGATACCTATGCTTAAGACATTATAACTGTGCACACCCCATCTTTATTAAAATTGTAAATTTATTCTGATGGCTCTTGCTTTTATTGTTGTATAATTTTAATTGCTATTTAACTTTTATTATTATTATTATTCTTTATGGTGGTTGGACTATTCCCCAAAGGAGAGTGTGTTATAAACAAATGTTTGTTGTGTTGACAAGAAAATTAAAATTTCTTGAATTATGTTTGCCACGCTGTTCTTTATCCAGAAGACATGTGTTTATTTATCAAAGCAATTTAAAAAAAAACACTAATCCAAACAGTTTTTTTTTTTTCCTGGATAGGTCAGCATTTTGATTGTACTTTCCAAATTCTGTCTTGCTTTTTTGTTCATAAAAGCTACTAGTTTTGGTCCAGATTTTTTTTCTTGCTAGCAAGTTTTATCAAAGTTCAAAGCTCTGCCTTTTTCTGAACTCCCTTCTCAGGGGACAAATTTGGGATTATTGCCAACATTCCTGGTGAAAATTTGCAAAACTCTAATATTTAGTACTTTGTCAGGAAAATATGTATGTTGTTATTACTTATTTTTATGATGAGCTGCTTCAGAGAGTCCTTTAGAGTTTCCTTCTTTTTCTTTTTAATTCTTTCATGCCTGAGAAACACCATACTGTAATTCTTTTGCTCTTGGTTTTTCAAACAGCAAGCATATCAGAATGTCATTCCAAGGAGTTTTAGAAAGGATACCAGATTTAAAAAGCAAAGTAGTTTCTTAAGTTAAATCACATTTTGCTTTTAGATCATCACTTTTGATCCACCAGGGGCAGATTTTCTTTAAAAATGTCACTAGTTTTACCTACTTGCCTAGAAACCTTCCTGAGATTATCCTTAGCCAAGTCTCAAGGTGAGTTTATTCTCAGTGTCCATAAGCCAAAAGAACACAAGTGAATTATTAATGTTTATGTAACTGTTAATTTTATATTGGTGTGAAAGCAGATTGTTGATTTCTTTCTGTATATGAAGAATTATTGGTCTAATAATAAAATCTGGAAATACATTAGCAACTATTACTTGGCAGTTTTCCCAGCTCATTGTCCGATTCAAAGACCGTACGGATTCAGGAAACTATTTATTTCACAACTACATAAAGAAGTTTTTAATTTTCACAAGACACAATGTGAAGGAACAGGTCAAACCTTCCAAAATGTAAACCACATGCATACCTAAAGGAAAAAGAAGTAAATTAACCTAAGGCATTACAGTGGCCATAAACATCAAATGCTGTTCATTTTTCCTTGTCCAATGGACTGTAGTTTTTCCCAATCAGGCTTAGAAGAACACACTTTAAAAATGTCAATTTTAATTATTGTCAGGAAAATCTAATATATGTAAATTACAGTGCAATTATAAATCCAAGGCCATGGGCTAGAAAAGCTAGCTGTTTTTAAAGTGTTTTGTCTAACATTCAAAAGGAAGAAGATATTAATGCCTCTGAAAATTGCTTAGCAATCTAGATGGTCATGAAGCTGGTATGTTATACATTTTTAATCTAAATGCTGTATGTTGTAGCTGGGTTTCTACATGAAATCCAGAACAGGAAATGCAGAACAGCTCCAGGTTGGATTACTGTCCAAGCAGAATACCACAAGAGGGATTGGTTTTGACTATGTTCTTTCTGGTCTTCTGATCAACAATGGCTACTGGCTTCAAAATGACAGGTGGGATTAGAAAATCAAAGTCCTGACCAGGAATGGGATGCTGCCGGTATAACAACTGGTTTGGTGATCATGCCAGCATGCACCTGACATGCACTGTGCGTGCACGTGAACAACAATAAAAAAATCCTTACCTCCTATATTACTTCTAGGGAGTAACACAGATGAGGAGTGGTGATCAGCTAGGATGATAAAGGTCAGTACAGCACAGGGGAAGCCCACATGATCATTGGAATGAACCGGTTTGCTCCCAGCTGATCTTCGGCGCTAGAGGTTCACCCGAACCAACATATTCCCAAACCTGGTCCTGGTCCCTTTTTACATGCATGCATTGTGTGTAACACACGTTGCAAAGGAGCAGGGCTTTACCCATTTTCAAATGCTTGTGGCTATCACTACAGATGTCACTGGTAAACATTTCAGATTTCTGTGGTTCAACAAATGACCTATGGGATACTTATTCAGCTTTGTTTCAGAGCTCCACCTGCCAGAAACTATTTTCAACAATCTAGATGAGACAAGATTACTGAACAAATAAGCTGAAGATTTTGGTCAAAGGGAACACTTTGTTCAAATAACAACCAGAGAGAGACCTAAGAGAGAGCAATAGGAGATGAGTAGATATATTTTCCCTTCCATCAACTTGCTACAACTGTCAAAAATAGTAAAGTATCACAAGATATTTAGACCATTATCCACTCAACACATTGCAGTCAACTTTGAGCTCTTTATTTGTTATTACTTTATGTAGTTTTTAATTGCTCAAGAACCAATTAGGGTAATTTACAATACCATCTTGCAGACCCTATGGCTAGTCATACAAGAGAAGTTTTTTTAAAAAATGGATATATAGCTAGTACATGAAAGAAAGGTAATCTTTTCACACTGTCTGTCTGGAAAACAACTATTAACTGGTATACCTTTATTGTTGTCCATTCCTCCAACAGCATACAAGGTCCCAACTGTAGATTTTCTGGGCTTTGTTCTCGGGCTTTGCATAAGTGTCCGTCTTTCTGGCAAAAGATGGTATTTCATCGCTTCCAGTATCAGCTTCTGACATTCCAAATCATCTTTAAAAAGTGCATGGTTTTCTAGGTCCGCTAAAATCTGTAAATTATACGAGTTGTGATTTAATAGGGATATTCTACTTTTTAGGCCTGATCCTCAGATCTCCTTGCACAAGCTTCTGTGATGTAGAAGGCTTGGACTTACAAAGGACATTGAGGAGGCCTCTTGTTTCAGTAAATGAAAAGATATAAATAAATCCACAAGAACGACAATCCAGATGAACAGATAACAAGATGGCCATAGACTTATTTAGAGCAGTAATCAGTGAAATAGTTACACGGCATTTTACAATATATCAGCATAGCAAGTGAGAAACTAAACCGTTATTCATCCTGCTTCTCAAAATAGTGGTACATTACCATGATCTTGTGAGAATAGGAGACAGAACGACACTTGGGTGCATGGGTGAACATTCTTTTCAATAGAGGTCTTAGAAAGTATAATGTTAATACCCATTTTATTTTTTCTCAAGAATTTCCAGCATTTCAACAATTGATGTTCCCCTCTTTTCTCTATGGAAACTTCTTTTTCCCTATGAAAAGATCCCTAAGTCAGAAATGATACCTAGTTTTTCTCCCCCAATTTCATGGAAAGGAATATCTAAATCCTAAATCTCCCTGTTTTTTTTTTCCCTGGGGGAAAATCTTGTTTTTATATGAAGTTCTCATTCTTTACTCTCCACAACATCTGCAGGACAAATGAAGGATTAGAGATCTGTAACAACTGGGAAATATGATTTCCTTTAAAACAATTCTATATTGACAAGGGCACGTATAGAGGTAGCCTGCTCAATATGTTCCATAATTGTTTCTCCAAACAGTGACTGACATTCAAATGGCCATAATCAACTGCAGCTTGGACAATGTAAGACCAACCAAACTTTGAAGACTGGCGAAGAACCCCATCTAGGAATAAGAGAATTAACATCATCATAAAGACCATAAGTTATTATGCAATCACATACAAATGGTGATGACCATTTATTAAACTTGAAAATGAGTAATGGAAAGAGACTTTCTTAAAGAGCAGGAATCAAAATGACACTTGCTAAGATTTCTTTGATCATTACATCCTGAAACATCTGTTCACTTTATAAGTAACTCGAAGAAGAAGAAGAAGAAGAAGAAGAAGAAGAAGAAGAAGAAGAAGA